TAAACATTTCATACTTTATCATGGCTAACTTAGTAGAGAATAGATAACAGATAATAAATAACAGCTGCCATTCTAACAGATACATGAAGAAAATACAGAGAGGGACAGGTGACTTTAAAAATCAGACTACTCATAAGACTATTCAATATTGGAGTGAGAAGGAACTTTAGAGTGCATCTAGTCCAAGGCCTGAAATCCATACATTAGGAAACTGGGCCTAGTTAATTGGCAGAATTGGTACTAAAATCCAAGACAGCACTCCCAAAGAGTAGAGTTCTTTCTACTATGAACGCAACACTGAATCTCTTTTATTACATTTTGAATGGAGAATTATCCTTGGTTGACAGGAGGATATAATACTCATTTAAAAGTCCTCTACACAAAAGCCAAACTACAGTACTGTGAAGCACACACTTTCCTCTTCAGCACAAAAAGTGTCAAATGTGAGTTGGGCTACCTGAAAACAGTAAAAAGGACTCACTGAAACATTCAGAATATCCCTGAACCAGAAAGTAACTAAACTTCCTGGAGCAATTGGCTTGCTTTCAAAGTAGGTTTAAATATGTCTTGTATAAGTCCTACAAATTTTCCAATATGACCTTTATTGGTAATAAAAGCCAAAATTCTGCTTTGAAAATTTATGAGAAAAAGGGTTGTGTTTTTTAAAAAGAAAATTTGAAGAAGTTGATGTCTCAATGAAATGCCTACAGGAAATGGAGAAAGCAATCCCTTCTGATTCACAACATGAATAAACTGATAATTAAGAATTGGCTCTGATCCATTTTACTATTAAAGTCTTGAAACTATGATGGCATGGTAAAAATGTTAGCAATTAAATCAATTCATAGCCAAAATCATATTAAATCAAATTAAAAGGAGTTAAATCAAAATGACCATTTACTTTATTACTTTGACCATAATTCATAATCAGGCTGCTACAAAATGTCATGTAGATAGGTTTTTTCTTACCCTTTGTATATCTCCCACATACATACATGAGCAAACAACTAATCATACAAAATTAATTTTTGAACCAAGTTCTTTCCTTTTAATTTCTAGTTTAGGAAGTAACACTTAACAATCTTCAAGTACTGTTTAACATACAGTACTACTCCCTTCCAGCTGGTCATAAAAAAGTATATTACTAATAAAAAAAAAGTAGTTCTGAGTTGAACATTTTCCAAGGAAGGGATAAAAGAAACTCAGCCAACTATTCTCACTATCAGTTTGGGAGAAAAAAAAGTCTCCTCCAAGGACAACTGGTATTCCCTGATAACAATCTTATGGACTATCTCCTTTCTACTTGGTAAAAATGCCACAAGATAAGTCATTCTACCTACCTAATCCAAAGTGTCATCATCCTGAATTCTCAAAAAGGACCATTTCCAGCACACATGTGTATCTCTCTCCAAAAGCTCTATGCATCTATTAGTGGTAGGAGAATTCATGAGTTTGGAGAAGGCAATCCAATTTAAACACTGGAAAAACCCCTGATTTCAAAAGTACTTAAATGTTAATGATGATGACCCGACTGGTCAAAAGATGAGATAACTAATATTTATATGTATTTTTCATTACAAAATATTTCTCAATCAACAAACATTTATTACGTACACTTCTAATCTCTCAGAGCAAAGGAGGTGTATCTTCTCTCCATAATTTATATTTAGGTAGTAGTCCTTTAGGAGAACATGTCATGGAAGAGCTTAGTCCTCTCAACAAGATGTAGAAGACCTGGAGTCTGCTACTGTGACTTTTGGCAGTCAGATTTTTTCAGACCACCATGTAGGCAAGGTGTTTTTAACTTTCCTCTACCCAACCCCCGCCCCAAACAGCAGTAAAAAAAAAAAAGTTCTTTCAGCTTAATTTCTCTCCTTGTGCCCTTATCATTCCTCCCTCCTGATGTTAATGGTAAATGCTGAAAATCTTCTATGTAAGTGATTGTTGGGCTGGAAAAAGAGAGAAACTCTAATGCAATTATTTATACCTTCAGGAACGAAAACAAGATATTATTGTCTTGAGTGACCTTTCCTAAGTATGGGGATACAGCATTTTACACAATAAACTCTTGGTTCATGTTTCAATTACTGACCTTTACTGTGTAGAAAATTAATGCAATTTTCATTGTAATCCATCCGTACAAATAAGGCCCATATGGAAGGATTCCACATGCTAAATCTAACACAAATAGAAAATGTCATCTCTTTGCTACCAGATGAACCTTGCCATTATCTGTTCTGCCGGGTCCTCACTGAATTCTACTTGCAAGAAGCAATTTCTTATATGTACCATTAGTTACAAGAGAGAATGGGCATCCTATTTTTGAAGTTTAGCTTTTCAAATTCACTTTTTTAAAGTCAGAAAGCTATCTACATTGAAAAGTCTTAGTGAAGTGATGAAGAAAGGAAGCCGAGTATGCTAAGCCAAATTTTGGTTGCTGGTACAAGTTATATTCAGATACCTTAAGAAATGAAAACAAGAAGTTTCTACAATGTAATCTTACAATAATTCCTATTGCAGAAGTTAAAAAAGAATGGTAGGTCCCAACACTGACGTGCTATAGTCTGGACTGTACATTCAAAACAGCCAGAATCTCTGCATGTATTTGTCAATTGAGGAGACTGCCAAGGAGGCTAAGAGTTTAGTAGGGAGGAGATCTGACAATTAAGGGTTGTCATTTTCAAGATTGATAGTTTAGGTAGAAAAGAGATCTTTTGCTCTTCTGTTTTTGAACTAAATGTCTGTGTATTTAGAATTTGTAAACACTTCATCTCTTAGAGGGTGGGTTACAATTCCCAGAAGCAGTGTCTGACACTTCTAACATACAACAAAATCCAGAAAAGTTCTGGGTAAATATCTTGTTGTAGAACATTAATGATGGCAAACAGAAGTGTGTGCATCACACCACAAACTTTGTATACAATATACTGATCTCAGTCTTAGCACTTACTAGGACAGGGTTGGGGGATTGGGAGAGAGTAAAAGTCATGACATGCATATAGATGTGTGTACAAACACATATTCATTGTCATAAGAATTTCAAAGTTTCAAATTTTCATTCCTTTCAAAGTCAATATTATAATTTGTCTTTTTAAGGAGTGAAGAAATACACATTGGTAGAATGTGAAGCTGCTTTTTTTAAGGCTATCAAACCTTTTGGTAATAATGGAGGAGGGAGGGAGAAGATGAGGATGGAGTATTTAAGAACATCTATTTCAGGTTCATGGAATTGTAGGAGAAAATATATCTCAGAGTAAAATTTTTATATTTGAGGGAAATACTTTGCTGATATATTCTCTAAAGATGCTAATGGCTGATATAAAAAAGACCCTCATTCCTCAAATAAATGCCAAGCCAAAGATTACACTTAAATAAGATTATTAGAGAGGTATCGTGTCATGGGGGAAAAAGTACTGGTATTGGAGTCAGGAGATCTGAGCTCAAAACTTACCTGAGATGCTTATTGACTGCAAATACAAGGGCTAAACATAACATCTCAGCGCCTCATTTTCTGTGTACCATAGAAAAGCTGGTTATGGGCTTGAGAGTAGGAATTTATAGTATTTTAATAACATTTAGGATATAATTAGGGTTTAAAGTTTTATATAACTTATTTCTTTATAACATGCTATTTATTAACATTCAATGGTCAACATCTTGGTCACCTTTTATTTATTTATTTATTTATGTTTGTTTGTTTGGTAATTTTTTGACAAGATGATTGGCTCTACCTCTCAGGGAATGTCTAACACAAGGGAACTAACTTGGATCTTAAACAGTTTTTTTTATTGTGGTTGTGACAATGAGATGTTAACCATGAACTCTATCTATGGTCCTGTCAATCCAGAAGTCAAAATGGCCCTAAATAACAGAATGCTACTTTTTATTTTGAAACTTTATCATATAATGAAATTTGTTTCAATTTAATAAATATAAATAAAATAATATAAATATAATTTATATAATAAATATAAGTTGAATTGATATGGTAAATGCAAAATAATGTAAAAATAAAATAAATATTGAGTACCTACTATGTGTATTCATAGAAAGTTTAGATAAGATGACCTTTCTTGACCTTATTGAGCTTTTAGTCTGACACAGTCATAGCCTTTGACTTAAAGGCTAATTCTGGGCATTGTCCTCCTCATTGTTGAGCTTTAACCACTTTTTTCTCTAAACCCCAATGCCTTGCTCTTCTATTATGCTCCTTCTTCTCTCTAATTTAGTCATCAAGTCTCTTAGGTTTTATCTACCCTAGTTTCAAATCTCTACATGTTTCCCGGAAGGAGGGAAGTACATTAAGCAAATGATGTCTAATTTGGCATTTCACTTTCTTCATTTTATTCCATAAGGTTTTGCCTGAAAGTCTAATGACAATAAAGCAGCAGGTTCAAGAGTATTTCCCTTGAGAGAACAATGGGCAGACACACTTGGATCTCCAGATGAAAATGGTGCCAGCAACAGCTGGGGAAGTGACAGACTCACACATTTGGTGACCAGACCAACAGAGTGAAAATATCATTCCAAAATAAGAGCTGTTATACTTTAACTATTTTTATTATGACATAGTGTCTTTTCTCCAAAAACTAAAAGGCATATCTCAGGTTGCTTCACTTAAAATCTTAAAATGCTTTGAATGTATGTGTGTACATACATACATATATACAGACATAGATATATATCTTCATATTATTTTGCTATTTCATCATGTTTTACCTCTCTCACTTTTGTCTTTTAAAGATAACCATAGACTAGACATTACTGTGATCTCCAAATTAGCCTCCTCATAGATATTTGACTTTAGACCAGGCCTATACAACTTTCTGCCTGTGGCTGCTTATGGCTCTTGGGCCCCTTGCAGCACACCAAAGGATTTGGGGCAGCCCTGAAAAATTTAGGGGAAAACATCTTTTATACATCGAGGAAATTCTTTGGCATACTGCAATGTAAGCTGCTCGCTGCTGTAAGTTGTGCAGGCCTGCTTTAGATCTACTCACCTTATCATCTTCATCATAGTCTTCTTCTCTGTCTGTGCTTTCCTGAAAGAAAAACACAATTCATTATTAATTATATCCTACTGACAATTACATTCAAAACATACATTAAAATATTTCATATATTTGTAAAAAGATCTCTCAAAATTTAAGTACCGTTCATTATTTTATATTTCTAGAAATTGTAAACATTTTGCTACCTCTTCTTATCCTCGTTACTCAGTAAACTCTGGGGGAATCTCTATTACCTCAGATCCAATATATTTTCCTTAGTATACCATTTATGGTTTTTCACACTTGATCTTTTCCTATCTTTTAAAGTTCTTTTTCTCATTACTTCTTTCCACACAATATATAGACTAGCTACATTGGCCAACTTGATATTCTTCACATATAATAGTCTACCAGCAGCCTACCTTTGCATTGACTGCCCTCCATGCCAGAAATATTTTCTTTCTTTACTTCTACCTCTTGGAATGAGTGGCTACATTCAAAACTCAACTCATATGCCACTTTCTACATGAAATTTCTCCTGGTCTCCAGAGTTGTTTTTGCCTTCCCTCCCAAGATTAACTTGTAGTCATTTTATTTATCCATTTTATAGCTATATTCTAATAAACATTAGAATATATATTACATATATGTAACATATGTCATATAACAGTTATATTCAAATGTATTCATTTTACATATATTCTGTAAATACTTATATAGGTATATTTTGTCATTTTACTAGAAAGTAATCTTGAGGAAGAAGTCAGTTTCACAATTATCTCTGTATTCCCAACAGTTAGCATTGTAGCTGACCCACAGTAGGCATTTAATTGTTTGACAATCTATATAAAATTTTTAAGAATAAATATAACTGTTAGAATTGTACCCACAGTTTGAAGGCAATGGCCTTTAAAATTCTTCACCAAGGTCTACTGTCTATAAACCATTTTGTTCTTATTCTGACAAATGAACCAGTTGGCATATTAAGGCTGAGGACTGCACACTTAGTTTATTCCAAGCTCATTGCTACAATGAGCGCTTTCTCTTTCATACAGTGCTGAAAGATTAGATAGTAGAAAATACAGCAGTATTAGTATAATCAATCTCAAGAACAAGATACAGATTTCTCTATGGCATTATAATTTAGCTTTGGTTTCTGTGGTGACAGGTGATTGGATTAAAAGACAAGGCAATGATCTGAACTTGAGGGCACTTGGCTCTCATTCAGGTGGTGCTAGAACAGCTGCCTGACTAAAAGGTCTGTTAAGTTTAGTTTTTAAAAATTTGTTATATAATAGGCAGGTTTAAACCATATCACTAAAAGTATGAGAGCTCATACACATCTATGTATAATTAGTTCTTAACACCTGATAGCTGTTTGAAAGGAATGCTGGATACTAAAAATTGGGGTTTGTTTTAAGTGCTAAAATCTTCCTTATGCTTCCTAGTTAACAGTACAAGACAGAATCAATTTCTCTCTATGCTCCATGAAAAGAGTTTTAGAACAGTAAGATTAAAGGGATGACTCCTTGAATTTACTGGAGTGGACTTTACTGATCATATAATGCCAACTAACATTGGCTAGAATTTGGTACCAAAGACTTGATTATCCTTGAATTTCACATGCTTCCATTCTGACCAACTTCACAGAATATGATGAGTATTCACTAGCAGCCTGTATGACACTCAGAGATCTTCAGATGAAAGGAAATAAAGTGCTCAGCACTGTCAGCAGGCAGTATTTCATGCAGGCAAATGAGGTCTTTAAAATAATAATAAAAAAACTCATCTCTGACTAGGGATTGGGAATAACTTAGCTTAAATGATTCATATCAGCCTCAAAACTTAGAAGTACATATTTTACCAGTTAAGCTTAAAAAATGTGAAAAGTTATTATGCCACTGACTACTGGATCTCAAGCTCACCTTTCCAAAAATAAAATGCCAGATCTAGAATTTGGTGAACCTTAAGTCCCGGCTATTTTTCAAGCTAGAAATAATTTTCTTACTCTTTAAAAGACTATTTATTTAGTACATTTTTACCAAAGAAAGTTTTACTTCCAATATTTAACAAAAAGAAAAAAAGAGCTACTCTATTCAAAGGCAGAGAGATTTAGTGGATAGAGGAAGACCTGAGTTCACATCTTACATCATACTTAATTAGCAATATTACTATGGGCAAGTCACAGCATTATAAATTTTGGAAGGGACCCTAAAAGTAATCTAATTCATTTACCCACCTTACAGATGAAGAAAATGAGGGCAAAAGAAGTGAAATGACTTCCCCAAGATCACACAGGTAGTAAGGTACAGGGCCAGAACTGGAATCCAAGTCCTCTGATTATAAATTTGACATTATTTCAGTGCATCATTATCTATGACTGAATTATAGACCAACTGTCTATAGGAAAAGGGACCTATTGGTCCTTGAGCTTGGTTTCCATACCCAGTTCACCCATGTTTAGAGAGAGTATACATTGTAAATGAACTGCCATTGATGCTACCCTCCTACTTCAAAAGCCCTCGAAAGGTAGGGGGTAATAATCAATTGATGCTCCTTTTAACCTATGGATCAGAAACTTCCCCTCATGTTCCCCTAAGTCTTGTCCTCTAGAATAATCATCTTAGATAACTTTCCTTGAATCTATTTATTGCTAATCTAACGGCCTTTGCCCTTGCCCCTCTTGACTTTTTAATGACTTTTACACTATCCATCATCTCTTCTTCTGGATATTCATGTCTTCTTCGGATTCCAAGGCATTGTTCTCTCTTGGTTATCTTCCTGCCTCAGTGGTTGCACCTTCTCAGTCTCCTTTCTTGAGTAGTCATCCACCCCACCACCCTTCATATACATATACACACCAAGTGTATTTATCTCTCAAGTCTCTGTCCTCAGCTCTTCTCTTTCTTCTCTTTAGATGGTTTTCTTTGGTCATCGCATCAGTTCCTGGGAGTTCAATGGTCACTTCTGTGTATATGACTTTAAAATCTATATGATTACTCTAATTTCTTATCTAAACTCCAGTTTTGCACTTTCAACTACCTGCTGGATATCTCTATGAGCAGCTCAAATTCAACATATTCAAAATGGAATTCATTATTTTCTTTCTTAAACCTGCTCTATTCTCCTGGTCCCTAGGGTCACAAATTCAGAATCTTGTTGAATTCCTCCTTTCTCACCCCTCGTATTGAATCTGTTGCCAATTTCTATTGTTTCCATTGTGCTTCCACAAAATATATCATATTTGTCCTCTTCTCTCCCTCCTTGGAATCATAATAATAACTTATATGTGTAAAATATGTATAGTTCACAGAGTTCACAGTTATGTAAGGCATATAGTACAAGTATTCTCCCCATTTTATAGATGAGGAAACTGGAACTCAGGCAGGTTAGGGGACTTGTCCTCAGCTAGTAAATGGTGGATTTGGGAATCAAATTCTGGTCTCCTGACTCAAGATACTTTCCACTAGACCATGGTGTCTCTTATGTAATCAATTTATTCCATCTGCAGGGATATTATTCTTAATATAAATCTCATCCTAATAAAATAGCATGAAAATTATTCGCAAAGGCAAATCTTTCCAATCTCTTGTACAGGACCTAGATTTAATCATACAAAGGATTTTATCAACCCACACCCTTCTAATGAAGTCAGATTTGGTAACTTGCTTAGAAAGAGGATTGAGGTGAGTTGTAATCATATATATATATATATATATATATATATATATATATATATATATATATATATATACATATATATATACACACACACATATATATATATACACATACACACACATATATGTATATGTATATATGTATACACACACATATCTATTCTTTCCACATACATAACATTACAATGACTTCTAGAGTGTAAAAGATACATAACTGAAGGCTGAGCCACTGACATGCCTTAGGGGAAACAGGCTCTGCTACATACAAATAAAAAGATAGCCTCAGTGAAACTAATAGGCAATATTGTTAAATATGTCTAAAATAAAACAAATTTAGATTATGTTTTTAAACCAACAAATTATTCTTTGCTCAAATGTCAAAGCTGATAGGGAGCTTGGCTTACCTGGCTTTCTTGGACACTGCTGACCTTTCCTTTCATGGGTCTGATGAAATTATAAACAAAGAGCAACAATAAACCCAGGGGGATCATGTACAGGTCAAAATTCCAGACAGTGACCAGAAACACCTGAGGGGGAAAAATGAGACAACATGAGAAAATAGTAGGAAGAGAACTGGGATCTATCATCATGGCATTGAATATCAAGTTGCTTTTTTTTCCCCAAAATTTAAGTCTAAAACCATCACTATTAAAAAGTAGTAATAAGGTACTATAAAATGCAATAAAAACAAAAAGGCAGATGAAAAGAGCTTTTGACCCACCAGGAAGGGGAGAAATTAGAAGAATAAACAGTCAGCTAATCAGGGTATCAGTCAATTTTAGAAGTCCCATCCACTAAACTACCCTTGAGCTTTTAGAATACCTATTTTTTTTGTTTTATTCTGTTTCTTTTCTCTCTTCTTTCCCTCCATTCCTCTCCTCTTCCTTCCTTCCCTTTCTTTTCTTGTTTGCTTGCTTCATGAGGTCCTCTGATTATCTAATAACATTGTCAATCAGAAAATGGAGTGATAAGAAATCAAAACAGAAATTATTGTTTTGTGGATATTCCCAGACTAAAAGAAGTTTAGGAACCTGAATTCACTAATGTCATCAACAAAAGACTGCATCATTCCTGCCACCCCCCAGCCTATACTAGTAGGTGGTATTAGTAATAAGTGATTATAGTTCTGGACCAGGAGTTAGGAAGATCTAAGTTCAAATATGGCCTCAGATACTTAGAAGCTATGTGACCCTTGGCAAGTCACTTAACCTGTTTTCCTCAGTTTCTTCTTCTATAAAATGGGGATAATAACATCTACCTTTCAAGGTTAGTTGTAAGAATCAAATAAAATACTTTGAAAATCTTAAAACACTATATAAATGTTAGTGATGATGATGATGATGATGATGATGAAGCAGATTATCATGGGGTTTCTTAAAAATGTAGCGCCCAAGTAGTACACAAAATGTAGTAGGTCCTTTCAAACAAGAAAACCAGAATATGATCAATCTTTTTAAGATCTCAAAGGCTATTTTCAAAGGGCTCTGGTCAAACAGGGATGGATTTTTTCCCCTTACCATAGCAGCTCATAGAAATGTGTTTATCTATGTATACATGTTTGTATACACATGTGTGTATATGTGTATGTGTATATGTATACACACACATGTGTGTGTGTGTGTATGTGTGGGTACATATATGTAGATAGATAGATAGATAGATAGACAGATAGATATAGATATAGCCTGTGGTAAAGAGGATGGAATCAGGGATGTGATATAATTCAGTAGATGCAAATTATGGCTGTTAGACATCAAGAGTGCAGTCAAGAATCTCTGAATTCAAATACTATTTTAGGCTTTACAAAGAATGCATTGTTTGTATGATAGGAAAAATGCAGTAAATTGTGGGCTATTATTTATGAAAACTTACCTATTCCCTTATAATATTCTCAAGGATGTCCTTGATCTTTCTGTAAATTATCTTTATAAAACTGTATAGAAATGGGAAATGTATATATATATATATATATATATATATATATATATATATATATATATAAAATACACATGTACACATGTGTATATGTGTATGTATATATATATATATTTGTGTGTATGTGCATGCACATATACATATATGTTTAATATCTTCAAAGATGCCCATGATGCTTGTGTAAATTATTCTCATAAAACTGCATATAAATGAGAAAGTATACATGCATAGACACACATACGTATATATATGTATACCTAACAGTACTTATGTGTCTGTCCATCTATCTATCTATCTATCCTTATTTTCCCATTCCTATACCATTTTTATGAGAATGATCTATGCAAGCATCAAGGACATCCTTGAGGACATTATCAGGCAGGTTTCCACAAATGACATCCCCCAGTATATTGTATCTTTACTATCATACAATCATCGTGTCCTTTGCAAAGCTTGAGATGATGTTTCAGTGTAGTGACTCTTGACTGTACTCATAACATATTAATATCAATTATTTTTATCTATTGAATTAGATCACACTCTCATTTCCATCCTCTTTACTCTAGTCCTGAAACACACACACATACACAGGCGCACACACACACACACACACACACACACACACACACACACATATATATATGTATATATATATGTATATATATACACACTTATTCCCAGGAGCTGATGTGGTAAGAAAAAGAAAACAAAACATTCATCACCTTTTACCCTAACCCTTTGAACTTAATTGGTTTACTCCTTAAATGACAATCACAAGAATAGCTAAATGGGATTTGATGTGATGGCAGTGTGATAATGAACAGAGGACAGCCCTGGAGACAGGAAGACCTGGATGCAAGTTTTGCCTCTCCAGAGTGTCCAAGCTCAAGTCACCTAATCTTTCATTGCCCCTAGGCAACTCTTTTAAACAATAAATGGCACAGTAGATGTCAATATGCATAGATTAAGGGAGTAACCCCTTTGGCAGTTTTCTGTATCTGTGAAATCATAGGTTCAGCCCACAAAGGGAAAAAAAAGGTTCACACTTTGAGTATCTCCTTTTCCTTCAGATACTTTGAGAATTGCTCCCTCAATGTCCTCAATATCATGTAAACTCAAATACTGACCTCTTCTGTGTATATTTCATGTCGTTAAGCTGATTTTCCTATCGTTTATTTTTTTTCCTTTCATTCTTACATTTCTACTTCGTATGGGTCTGCTGTGCCACAGTCCAAACTATGAGGCTCTATTGATGGGGAAAAAGGTTCATTCAAAAACTCTCCACAAGTCTTTTCCATATCTTGTCTTTTTGTTGTCCAGGTTTCCTCCCTAAAATCCCTCCAGATGGTTTAGATTAGTTGTGTATCTTACCAAGCTTTTGTTAAATTGATTTTGCCCTCCAAACTGCTTATTGCTGATTTTTAAATCAATATTGCATTTCATGTCCTACCACCCTTCTCCACAAGATTTTACAAAATTAATTCATATTGTAAACAAGTGAGTGCCTTTGCTGCCACATTCCTCCATTAGTCATTTAAGGAAAGCGTTTGCAGCTTTTTTGGACTCCTTATTCTGGTAACTGTTATAAGACAGGGACAGAAATTGGACCTGTGATTTTATTGGTATAAGGAAGTCCCAGATTAGGAAATGTCCTTCACCATTGTGAGACAACATCTTCTCTGTGACTTACATGATTAAAAGGTTGCCTAGAGCATTAAGAGGTTAAGTGATCTCCTCAGAGTCACAAAACCAGTATGTAGGGGCAGAACTTGAATCCAGGTCTTCCTGGCCCCAAAGCCAACTCTCTATTCAGTAAGGCAAGCTTCTTCTGGGCAACTGATATACATCTGTTAAACTTTTTAAGGAAAGGTTATCATCAGTTTTGATGTCCTTAACCTTTTCTTTATCCTTTTCCATTATTAATAACTTGCCATTATTAATAACTTCTTTATATCAGTAGGTTTAACGACAGAGGAGATTGTCTAGTTCTTTCGCTTTGACCCAATGCTTCAGGGCATTGCATAGGCCTGAAGACTTCACTGGTGTAGATGTCATTTTTGCTTTTCCTGATTTGACCATTTCTATGATGATGGCAGTTGTGCTTCCAACTCTAGATGTCTGAGTTTCTAAATCTCCCAAAGACATTTTTTTCGCTCTGTATCCTACCATCTCTTCACTGAGATCACTAGCATCATTCCTTTATGTTACTCCTCATTTTGGCCTTGGCTTCACATTCCTGAATTGCTCAAACTGCTTGTCTTTTCTTCATGAGGGTCCATTTCTGTGAAGGTTTGGATCAGTCCCAAGTTATCATTTTCTCAGTAAGCCAAGACAACAATTCCATTACAGGTAAAATTTAGGTTAAAGCAGTATTCAGGCATCTCATTCTTTTTTCAGTCTTGGCATACTCAGGGATCACTTTGATTAAAAAAAACATAAAGAACCACACAGCCCTCAAGTCCTACAAGATATAACTATTTTGGGAGGTAGTCAGAAGCATGCACAACTTTTCCATGGGATAACAGACATACCATATATTTTCTCTTAATTAATATTTCTAGTATTCATAAACTTGGGGAAAGCTGCTACCAATCTCTCAATTTAATTAATTCAACTAAATTAAGTATATTTTCACTTTCATATTCTTTTTTCTAGCTTTATAGCAATTGTGATGATTTCTCTAACAAGATAACTGTCTTATTATATCTAATCCAGCAATGACAACCCTGTTAATAACCAGTTTTACTCCTATGAGTTAAAATGTTGCCAATTTCATGTATGTGTGTATGAGAGAGAGAGAAAGACAGATGTATATATGTGTGTGTGTGTGTGTGTGTGTGTGTGTGTGTATGTATATATACAGAGAGAGAGAGAGAGACAGACAGACAGATTTAGAGCTTTTGATACTTTCTATGGCCGATGTCTTCTGATTCTTTTAAGAGGCTTCTCTGTACTTCAACATTCTCCGGTCTATTTTATTTCCTACTTCTGAACCATATTTTTAAAAAATGGTTTTCCCTGTCCTCACCAATGCTCACTTTTCCAACAAAATCACTGAATGTTATTCCATCTCCAGACTGCTTTTTTATTGGCTGCTCTCCATTCTTGGAATTCTCTCTCTTCTCACCTCTGTCTTTCAGCTTCCCTGGCTTCCTTGAAGACTCACCTCAAAATCTTCATTATACAATAGGCCTTTCCTAGTCTCTACCACCTTCAATTCCTTGCCTTTCTTTGTCTCGCCATTGGTTATGGCCTGGAACCTTATGAGTATTTGATAAATATTTGACTGACCTATTATATATTCACTTAAATTATATATTCACTTAAATTTGGATTTTGTTGACTTCATAGAATTTCTCTACTTGCTTACTTTTTGTAAAAAAAAAGTCTGAACATTTCGCTCTTTCATGGTGGTCATTTTGTATATAATGAACAGAACACAACAAGATAAGCAAATATCTCATAAAATACTTATTTCCCTTGGATGAAGAATAAAACCATCTACCTGATTTGCCTCTCTAATGAGAACCATGAGCCGTCATTCTATTTAGTTGCAACTTATTTCGATCTTCTGGTTTCATGGTGAAAATGT